TAAAAAAGCCGTAGTTCTTCCGTTACAGGAGTTTCATGGTGCAAGTGATTTATTTTTTATTTTGTTTTTGAGAATATTTATCCACCTACAGACTAAAATACCTAACGAGGAACAGAAATTTTTAAAATATATATATTTTTTTCTGCTATTTCATCTTTTGGCTCAAAGAAGGGAATAACTAAGGCTTCAGCAACGAATCAGCAATGGGACAAATTTCGTTTTAACGTCAAAGAAATCCGCTAACAATCTAAGGAAGCTGAACTCAACCTGGACTTAGGAGACTATGGCCGAATTCATTAGTCAGTAACTCGCTTGGACACTCTCTAAGCTGGTCAAAACTAGCAATGATAAATATAGGTCGAGTTAATGCGTGTGTAAAACTAAATCCATGATATAATGGCGTTAAGGACCACTTCCGGATCACAGCAATAGAAAAACGGGGATTTTTATTTTCTCCCCACCACTTGCCAAGTCAGCGTTGGATCACCACCCATGGCCGTGGCAGCTAAAGCAACTAAGAGGTTTTCGACACCTATCTAACACCACCCAGGTGATTTCATTTCTCGCGTTCTATTAATTAAATCACCTGAACCTTATTCCGACTTTGTTATGTTCCTAAAGTAATCCACAGATCGGTTTAGACAAAAAAAAAGATTAATCTAATAGTTTTGGTTTCCAATGCCCATGGAAATGTCTTCTGTATGCCGGTCTTGTAGTTAAATGCCCGGGTCATAAGTATAATAATGCCTCCAACACTGGGACTCCACTGGCATGAGTAAACAGTTGCTTTCGAAAAGAAGGAGAAACTTTCGATGGCTCTATCATGAACTATAAATCATATTATGAAATCAATTGGGAAAATTCGTTGTTGTTTTTTTTATTTCTTGTAGGGATGTTACTTTTTCTAAAGACGATTTCAAAAAGCGCGATCGAAGGTTTTTCTCTCTGATTCGTAACTTGGACGAAGGGGACAGGGATCCGCCACGCAGATCCAGTTCCCAGTTTCCAAATCAACTCCTACCTCTGCCTGTCACCGACACATTAATGTCGATCCTTAAACCTAAATTTGTTTTTAGAATTCATTACGCATGAATTGAATCTTCCTCAATCGCCTATTTTGGACGGGGACGAGCAAGGAGAAATCAGGGAGGTTCGCCGCATGCTCGTCTTTCTTTTGTTCTTCCAGTGGCGTTCAAGCATGCCGTTCCTTCCTCCCTTCCCCCTCCCCACAGTAACGTTCTTCACTCTTTCCGATACCGCACTTTACCGCACGTTCTTCGAGGGACGGAACCACTTTCTCATGACGAAGTAGAATACGGTGAGGACGTAGATCAGCAGCAGGATGGCACAGGTCACGGCCAGGGCGAGGACGGACGATCTCGTTGGGCACGTTTCGAAGAGTGTGACGTCGGCGGCTTCGTAGTTGTACGTGTCTGCGGGGAGAAATGCGTGGGTTTAAGGTATATGCACCGCCGCTGTTTAACAGTATCCTGGAGAATGTGGTCAGTATCATTCATCAGTATCTGCAGTCTTAACAACATACGAACAGGAAAAAAAACGTGCTCCCCGTCAACTCACTCGGTAACTCACTGTTTGTGTAGTAGTTGTTGTTGGCTTCGAGTCCGGACTTCTCGCGGTACTGCGGGCTCTGGTCGTCGCCGAGGTCCAGCACCAGGATCTCTTGGCTAATGCTCATCTCACTCGCGCCGCTGCTCCTGCGCTCGGCCGCCGCTATCGCCTCCTCCTTGGTGGTCTCCTGCACGTGTCCGCGGCCGTCCCTGGGGTTGTTGACGCCTCGACGCTTCCTTCCCCAGGATTCCAACTGTTCGCGCCCGACTTGGCACCTCGCCTGTAGAGATGTGGGAATGTGAGATTAGTCGCTTCGAATGCTGTCTGGTTTTACCTTTTGCATTCTATATATGGCGTTCTTCTTTTCTCTTCCTCTGCCTTTCTCTTCCCCTTTCACTTTGTTCCCCTATCCCTTCCCCTCTTCCTCATACAAAAATCCTCCGTTCCAACTCACAGGCTCACAAGGCCCGAGGCAGTACTTGACGTTGCACTGGAAGATGACGCCATAAGACTCGGTGAAACGGAAGGCCTCGTACACGGACTGAACAGCGGTGCCGTCGCGGATGAACTGAGGGAAGATGGAAGGCTCCACAGGGCATCTGAGGGAAAGGAGAGTGTGGCTCGGTTAGGAAGGAGGAGCATGGCTTAAGCTCTCCAATGTTGGTGAGTGCATACTGCGGAAATGGTATATCATTTCATTAAACATGTAGAACACAAAATCGATAAAGTATACATTTTTTTTCTTCACAGACACTTATTACAGACAACTTTTTTCAACATGGAAAGCAACACAGTCACTCCGCAACTCTACACAAATCACAAGTCCTTTAGTTTAGTGATATAGTACTTATCACAATAATGTTATAGCTTAAAACTCAAATGTAATACCACTATATAATGTCATGACCATGCATCAAATGTACCACAGCTTCCCCACGCCTGTGCAGTTAGCCAGGATAGTAAATAAAAGACTAAACTAAACTAAAATTTTAGTTCAAACAGCTAACTCTCAACGAAGTCAACATCGAGGTCACTTACCCTTCGTCATCGATAATTTGGAAGGTGGAGCTCGAGTCTTTCCCCATGGCAACGCAGCTTCGGGCAAAGATACCGTAGGGAGCTGGAAAGACAAGGTTGTTGTAAATAGACGTCTTCACAATTGCTGTGACGTGGGAGTAGAATTGCTGATAGACAGAATAATAGACACATTATATTTGTTCTGAAATACTGGCATGTTCACATCGTTTGGCTACAATTTGTAACGATTTATATTTGTGACTCTTAGGCCATATTTTGATATACAAAAACTTGCCGCTTAATACAAGGATAGAATCTAGAATCCAAACACTCTTGATAGTTTCTCGTTTTTCCTTTCATGACTGGTACATTTTTTTACATTCAAAGTCAAGGTTAGTTATATGAAATTAGGGTTGAACGAGACAAATTACTGTAATTCAGATACTAAGAGTAACAATAGGAATAAAAATTATCCTAAACATTCAGCGCATTTCAGAAAGACTCACTTTCTTCGGGAATCTCGATCCTGAAGGCGAGTCTGTCTCCAATCCTGACGGTCTCCACTTCCCTGGCTTCGGCGTCCAAGATCCGGATCCTGGGCATAGGGGCCTCGGGGGCAGACGTGATGGGAATCATGTCAGGATCCCTGGTTGATAAAACGACGGGTTAGTATTTGCTTTGGTTTACCCTTGAAGGAAAAATAATTAACAGAAAATGGAAGTAAGGAGTAACTGTCATATTGTCTGGGATGTCATATTGTCAGTTCATATATTCGCATTTATGTCATATTGATGAAGTCATATTTTGTGTTAGAGATATGAGTCTACAATAATTCACATTGCGTTTCTTTGTTAGTGGCTAATGATGCAGTAAGCCCAACTTTTTTGCACCCTTGGCAGATAGAAAGTGACGGCTTAGATTGTGTTTCTGTAAAATATGTCGTTAGAATTGTTTTATAAGCAATTTCAGAAGAGTCAAACCGACAAGGAAGCTTTTTTAATCAATCAAAACATTTGTGAATATCATTACAACTTAGTTAAACGTGATCATATCTCTGCTGTCTGTATAATACAAGTAATGTCTTTAACTATTCCGTTTACCATAGATTTCTAAATTGTCAGTTTGATCATTCCACTGTTATTCGATGTCCTGTAAAATATGTGGTTAGTGAAGCTTCCAATAAGTCAGTCATTAGTGCATGCTGATGTCGAGACAGACTGAATATCGAAAGAGATCCAGAAAGATATATATACGACACTGAAAGGTCGGTGATTTTGTTACTTTAATATCGACTAAATGTTTATTTCTCTGGATACTTTCGAATCATCGTCAGCTTTAAAAACAAAAATAGTTGTTGTCTGTTTTTTTTTCCGTTAAAGTCCCAGCGATGTGTCTACAGGTCAGCGTTCGCAGGCTTGTGCTCCAGTCTACAGTTCAACATTTACAGGTTCGTGCTCAGTGTCTACAGATAACTGTTGTAACAAGTCTGTGCTCCATGTCAACAAGTCAATGTTTCCATGTCTAGAAGTCATTCGAAAGGCCTACAGACAGCGGGAAAGAGGGTGAGGGTGTCGCAGGCGAGGCAGTCCCTAGCTACGTGATGGAACTGGTACTACCAACTCTACACGTGTAATTTTCTACACCTGCCACTAACACCTGTTGTCTTACCGGATCATCAGTGTCTCGGATATCTGGTTGACATCCTGGCCTGAACTGCTGTAAAGTTGTCAGAGTTAGTGGAGTGTTTTCGCGTACTTTTGTACTGATATCACTAATGCAAATCAATAGAATTTCCAATAGCCAGTGATCCTGTAGACACTTATTCAAGGAAAAGTCATTTCTGTGAAATGGCTATGCAGTTGAAGGTATTTCATCACCATATCCTAATTCATTTAGAAGTCAAAAAAGGTGTTCAGTATCAGAAGTGTCAAGAGCTCTCATGTCAACCCTTTTGCAGGACCGCACACCCATCACTTCTAAATGCACGCAAGGGACCAAAGTGCCTGCTATACAGAAGGTGCCGAGTCCGCCGTCCGCACCGGCTCCTCTTACCTGATGGGCATCATGCCGAAGGAAATGTTCTTCGAAGACATGTCGTAGGTACAGCGCACCTTGTAGATCTTGTCAGTCTTGGTCATGACGACGGAGTGGTGCTGGATGACGACGGTGTTGGTGTACACGCCATTCTGGAAGGGGTTGCCATTGGGTTACCGAGTAGTTGGTATTTGGGGAACTAGTGATTGATATGTGCTGCATAAGAAGCGTCAGTTATCAATAGATAGATAAATTGATAGCAGAAAACACCCTTTTCCAGCCTGCACTTACAGCACTCTGTGTGTTACAGTCTTGACCAGCCATGGAGAGGTCCAGGCGGAATTTGTTCGACTGGATGACCTGGATGTTGCACGTCTTCGAGCGACCAAGGGCGTAGATGCGGCCGTTGAAGTTCCTGTTGGTCATCACCTCCACCACGATGCGCGTGTCCTTGCAGTGTACGGATACTGTTCGAGGAGGAAAGGATGAGAGAGGTGTTGCAAGGGGTGGGTAGGAACTTAGTGCCGAAAATATTGACTATATTTTACGAGATCTATGAAAATGGATAGAAAATAAATATCACACTTTTCTTTACTGTCGTTGCCAGTAAAATATTTTAAAAAAATAAAAAAATAAAAAAATAAAAAATAAAATGAAAATACTTCTGCTAAAAGAACCCTAAACAATCTCGCAGACATACATACATAAAAAAGGCATCCTCTATGACTCACCATCATAACAAACTCCAGTGGGATCACAGTTGTCCCCCCCCTGGTTGGTCGTCGACGGGGAGCTTTCGGTAGCAGCAGCACCCACTGGCTTGATGGTGAAGTCGCTTCCCACCGTGCTCCCACTGCTCCCAGTGCTGCCGCCGCTGCTGCTGCTGCCGTCGGTGCTGCTGCTGCTGCTGCTGCTGCCGCCGCTGCTGCTCTCTGTCACGTTGGAGTCTAAGGATCCTGGAAAGGGCCGGGTCATGCTCGCGAGTTTGGTCGAGGATTTTGTATTGTATACGGACAGGAGGTTGTCTTTGATAGGAATGCAAGGGAAACAAAATCGCAAGTTATATTTTACAACTGTGTCTTTATTAATCATTGGACACACATACATATGACTTATATGTATGTCTAAGGATATAGATTCATTAATCTATATGAATAACGAAGCTATTCTCCAGGTAGTACCATAAAACAATCCTTCCCAAACAGGAACTGAAGAGCGTGACTTGGAACGCAAAGGCGTAAAAAATGAGAGAAAAAAAATGGCGTCTTCTCAAAAAAACGTTTGGGAAACGTTGCCATATAGTTATCTTAGCTAGTCTGATCATGCAATGCGCCATGCAGCTGTTCTTATCGAGGAGAAAATCGACGTTCCATGCAGAATTACGGTGCGCCAGGTATGTCAGCATGCAGTTGTGTGTGTAAGTGTGTGTGTGTGTGTGTGTCTGTGTGTGTTTGTGTGTATGTGTGTGTGTGTAAGTGTAAGTGTGTGTGTGTAAGTGTGTGTGTGTGTGTGTGTGTATCTGTGTGTGTTTGTGTGTGTGTGTAACTGTAAGTGTGTGTGTGTAAGTGTGTGTGTGTGTGTGTGTGTGTGTGTGTGTGTGTGTGTGTGTGTGTGTGTGTGTTTGTCTGTGTGTGTGTGTAAGTGTGTGTATGTGTGTGTGTGTGTATCTGTGTGTGTGCGTGCGCATGCGTGTGCGTGTTTAAGTGTGTGTGTTTAACCTGAAAATCGTCCTGAAAACTGTGATAACCAAGGCGTGTCTTGCTGTTAGGTACAGGAAGTCATGAAGCACGGATGCATGGCATTAGCAAGTGTCCTGGCAACGGGTTGTAATACGCCTCGCCTTCCATGGACAAGGGGCACTCGCCATGTCCGGGGAAGGAGAGGAGGAAGGGAAGTACTTTGGTCTTAAAATTGGAGGACATCCGGTCTTTCCTGAGGGAGGCTATTATGCCTGGATGCTTCGGTGGGTAAGGAGCTAGCTTGCTGGCTCTCTTCTCTCTTTTCGCTCTCTCTCACTCTCTCATTCTCTCACTCTCTCAACTCTCTCTCTCACTTTCTCATTCTCTCTCTCTCTCTCTCTCTCTCTCTCTCTCTCTCTCTCTCTCTCTCTCTCTCTCCCTCCCTCTCTCTCCCTCCCTCTCTCTCCCTCTCTCTCTTTCGCTCTTATTCTCATATTCATTCATTCACCCATTCACTCATTCACTTATTCACTCTCTCACTCACTTAATCAGTCATTCTCACTCACTCACTCACTAACTCACTGTCACTCACTCACTCACTCACTCAATCACTCACTCACTCACTCACTCAATCATCCACTAAATCATTTACTCGCTCATTCATTCATTCACTCAATCTCGCTCTCACTCACACATATATTCACAGCCATGTATATTTCACACACGCAGTTTTCTTTGGCTTTCATAAACGCCAACAAAGCTATGCCCGACGTTCTCCTGAGCCGCCAACTTTAATAAAATCTTTACTAGTCTAAAAGCGTTTTGTTAGTCAGTTAGTCAAGGCAGACACAGGCGTTAGAGATGCAAGAAACAATATGCAATTGGTCGTGAAGATTGTAAAGAGAGTCTTTAAGGAACTTGAAAGAAAGAAAGTAAATGGAAAGCATGAAGATAGTGTAACTGAGGTCAGGTTATTATCTTCTGTCAGCAGATCCACTAACACCGTCTTTTTTGTAGCATTAAATGCCCCTCCCACTCAAAGGAACCAATCACCGTGAGTCTTTTTGTTGGGCCGAAAATGATAACTCTCCCTTTAGCCAATGAGCTCCGGCATTCAGCCCCCCAGAGAGTCTTTCGCTCTTGGTTCTAAATCTCGCTCTCAGAGAGTCAATGCCTGGCGTCAGTCTCGTTGACAGACCGAGAGGGAGATTTTGATCTGTGTCTTACCCAGCTCTTCCACGCCCTCGATGCTAACTTGGCGAGAGATGGTAGCCTTGTCAAAGCACATGATCTGAGTGATGTACCGATTGTCTCTGGTCGTCACTTGCTTACAGATCATATTGTCCTTCCGGTCTGCAAGGTCATGTGAGGTCAAGAGAAAATGTCAGTGACCGGAGTCGAAATTCGTGCGGGTCATGTCAAGAGAAGTGAAACACCATGCACGTTTCCATGAGCTGGTTCTCGGCCATGTGAAACCCTGCATGTTGTTTCGCGCTAGTGAGGTGTGTCGGTAATTCAGAAAAAAACAATAACATAAGGAATAATACGTGGTCTGAAAGTAGCCTAAGAAGAGGTTCCTGTACCGGGCTTCGCGCATTAAAACGCCTGGGTATGTGTCGCTAAGGTGCAGTGAGTTACAAAGGGTAAAAAAAATTGGGTGACTGATCCTGTGTCGGAAAGCGGAAGATAGGTGTGAGTGGCCCCAAGGTCTCGATAACACTGAAAGAATGCTATCATATTCGCATATTATGTCCTTTGTCAGGTGAGTGTGCTAGAGTGTGGTATGACTTTTTTTTCCCCCAATGGTTATTATTTCGGTTCTTCAACTTGGTCTTGGAATGTATATAAAAAACAGCGAGTGTTGATCTATGCTTTGTAAAGTGATAATACTGTTTAAATTTATCTAAAATCAGCCTTACTATGTAACCTGAAGTTACTATTTTGTGCTGTCTTCAACGTTTTTTTTCTTAATTCTATATAAGAATAGTGTAATTACAAAAGAAATGTTTCAGTTCTAATAGCTCTATACAGTCTAACATTGCTTAATGATATACAAATAGTATTTATATGTGTTGCGTCTTCCTACAATCCATGTTATAAAGAAGAACAATGTTAAATAAAACATAACTACAGTTATTATATACACCTACAAAACCTTTATGCCGCTTAATTAGTTAAAAAGTTAAAATGCTCAGTCTACTAAATGATACTGATTTAAAAGCACAACACACTACACTATTATACAAAAGCAGGGTGGTGATACAACGTTTTAATACAATTAAGCGTGAATACAAGCGTATTATCACATTTAAATTGCAACTATATCATATGCTCTCATGCAATATTCATTACTTCATACATGCTCTATTGCACACTACAAATTCAGTAATATGAAGCGGTGAAGCAAAACTGTCGTACGAGTCGTTATTTTGTGCAACAATAAAAGTAAACAGGTAAATGAAAATAATGCAGAGGTTGCTACTCACTCTTGCAGACATTTTCGTAGTAGACGCCCGTTCGTTCTCCGTTGTCAAGCAGGGGCCTTGGGGGGGAGAGAGGATGAAGATACGAGGGTGATTGGGAGAACGCTTAATCGATATGTCTGTCTTTTATGTAAACTAATTAAGTTTTAGGTCATTGCTGTGCCGATTACTTTTTTGCTGATTTTACTTTCCTACCAGCAGAAAACTTATTTATTCAAAACACAGGCGTTTTCTAGCTTCTGAAAACTTTATCAATTTCCTAAAGTCGAATTATGTCCCTCCTCTTCGAAATAAAATGGTTTTCTATCATCACACATAAACCTCAAAAACGTCAGTTCCCCAAATTTTCTTTCTTACGGAACCGGCATGTTTTTCCCCACCTATCACACTTACCTGTCAGTGGAGAGGAAAGTGGAAGGACCGTCGGGGAGAGTGAAATGATCGAGGTGGAAAAGCTGGCAGTTGTAGGTGTTGCCTGTAGGTGGTCCCTTGTAGAGGAAGGATCTGCAGAGGAATTCGTTTTCGATTTCACACGCTCTCTCGCAGGCCGCGACGCTGTTAGCCTACGAAGAAGAAAGAAAGTTTGATGAATTAAAGAAAAAAAGATGGAATACTTTCGTTGGATTCTTCGTAAATCTATTTGATTATATGGCCAAAATAAAATACGAGGATGGGAGAGTGACTTTTCAGCCATACATAATTTTTGCTGTGGCATTTTTTTCCCACGGGATACCTTATCAAATTTAGGGTTGAAACATTTTTTTCCTTTTACGGTATATGGATGACAAGCAATATATTATCTTTTTCTCTGAGGTGTAAGATGAAGGCGAAAGTTCTTCTACCTGACGGGCAAGATCTTTTTTTCCCTTGAAGACATGACACAGCATTTCTTTTCTTCTAATTAATGCTCCAGGAAGTGACTGATTTCAAATAAGCCTAAACGGTCTACGTTATACTTATATGCTAGAAAACTGTAAATGGGAAACAAATTTTAATATAAAAGTGAGAGAGAGAGCAAGCGAGAGAGAGAGAGAGAGAGAGAGAGAGAGAGAGAGAGAGAGAGAGAGAGAGAGAGAGAGAGAGAGAGAGAGAAGGAGAGAAGGAGAGAGCGAGAGAGAGAGATTAATCATAAATAGACGAGTATTCGATAGCCCGACTACCCGATCGAGAGGAAGACAAATCACATGCAACAGAAACGTAATATAAACAAAGATAAAA